GACACATGAACTCATTTTTTTGGTTGATTTTTCTTTGTTAGCACCCGGCCTCTAGTATAAAATAAATATCAAAAATATATAAATCTTTGTTTTACTCTGGTTGCAAAGATAAAAAAAATTCTGTATGTGACACGGCACCAGAGTTAAGTGAGGGTTTTTCAGAATGCTGACACGCCGAGCTCAAAAGGTTCCCATCGCTGATCTAGGCCAACGGGAGCCGAAGCTTGCCCTACATACCCGGGCCTGCGGTACACAGAATCCTGCCTGCTGGCCCACTCGGGTGATGTCGAAGGAGACGCATTCCAATGCCAGGGCGCCTAAAGGTAGGGCACTGCCATTCACCGCTCTGTTCACAGTGTGGACTTCTTGCCTTGTTATCGCCCCCCCGCACAAGGCGATGCTTTACTTTGTGTTCATCCGAAATACCAAGCACTGGCCCGGCCGACCCAACCCGGCCTGGCTCAGCGGTTGAGCGTCGACCCCTGAACCAGGAGGTCCCGGTTCGATTCCCCGTCAGTCAGGGCACAGGCCCGGGTTGCGGGCTCATCCCCAGTGTGGGGACGTGCAGGAGGACTCCAGCCTCTCCCGGGGCGGAGACGTGAGTGCGGGCACCGCGCAGTCACTCGCTAGCGCAGCACAGCGGGACCCGGGCCCGCCAACACCATCCCCCTATTCCGGGCGGCCGTTCGAAAACCGAGTCCCGGCTTCCCGTGTGCAGACGGGACCGGAAACCTGGCTGCATCGGGGACGACGCGCGGACCGACCGACCGAGGGACCAGCCAGGGCCACTGTCTCTGCTTTTCAAACTTTATTTCTCGGTGATGCTTGGTATTTACATTATTTTACATGAGTTTCAGGTGTACAGCACACCGGTCAATCAATTGCTCCCGAAGGAGCCCCCTGATATTGCCAGTGCTCACCCACGCGATGTCACGATGGGCTGCCTTCCAGTCCTGTTGGGGAAGGAGGTGGGTCCACCAAGATAGGAAGTGGGTGTGTGTTTTCCCCCCAAAATATGACATGGAGCCCTAAGATCGTCCGTGTTTGGATGGGTGAGCATCGAAGGCTTGCATACAAAAGCTCACGGAGCAGCAGTACGTCAAGTAGAAGGCGCGCACAAGGGAGTACAGGCTGGGGGGTCGGTTACAGGTTTGCACCACGAAAGCGTCACACACGTGGTAGCAGCGAGGCGTGGTCAGATCGAGACAGCGAACACGCGGGCCGGAAGCCAGACTGTCGTCACACCTCTTTCTGTTGTAACATCTTTTCTGTCGTTCTCACGGTCCAATTAGTAGGGGCAGTGGCAGGAGAAGAGGGAATAGGTTCATTCCCCCTTAGTTTCCCCCAAAAAAGAATTTATTTTTTTTTAGGCAGTTAATTTGTTTCCCCCCAGGGGGGCAATAGTTTAATCTGTGAATCTAATTTGTCTGCGTAAATATTTGCCTATTCTATTTGGTAAAGTGAAGTCATGCGGGACTTTTTTAAATTTCCGAATAGTAAGATTCAGCAGAGGCGATTCGTGTTTTTGTACATGAATGCTCACGGTTTCCTGGGGAATGAAACGGAAAAAAAAAAAATGTGCTCTTGGTGAGATCTCTGATTGTTTTTTGCAAGAATTTTGGTCAAGTAACAACCGTGAGCAGGTCCCTAAAATAGTTTTTTGCTTTTGCTTTTGTTGCCGGGAAATTTTTGTATGAAATGCCGGTGGAGGTATCAAAAGTTGCATTGTCAGGTAACCCTTGGAAATAGGGGGGGGAGTAGACCTTTCCTGCTTGTAAACTATCAGTGTCAGATTCTACGCGCGTCAGAGCCCTTCTGGCTTTCTAGAAAGACCTTCGTTCCGTGTATCAATGTGACAGCTGCGAAACATCTGACGCGGCACGTAGGAACCTCAAGGCAATCGTATGCGTACGCATTATTAAACATGCAAGAATTCCTGAACGATGGTGTCCTAGGATGGAGAACCCTCTGAGATTAGCCCTTCTGGGGGAACCATTCCTCGGAAACTATGGCTCTCGGGTTTGAGAGTGAAGAGGCTGACTTTTGGGGGGCGGGGGGGAGGGGGCTGACTGAGGGGGG